TATTAGCAAAGAAATATAAAAACTTCTTGCGAACATCTTTTTTGTGTGTGGTCAGAGGATCAGCGGAAAGAGTTTTTACTAACAGTAATAATTATAACACTCCTAGTAATTCCAAATAGGTAGTATAGTTGAAATCTTTACAGATAGTCAAGCTTAAATTTCAAAATAAAAAATAATTGAAAAAGATGATTCAAAAAGAATATATAAAAGATTACTAAAGGATAAAAACTGATTATCATGGATATGTACAGTATAATAGAATTGATTAAGAAAAAAAGTTTAGATCTGAAACTTATCAAGATCAAGCTATACTTCAATGATCCCTATAATAATAAAGCAAATACTTTAACCAAAGATATTTTAAACTTTTTGCAATAAAATGAAAAAATCTTATCTTATACAAGATTCCTACTGAAATCAAGTGACATTACAAAATATTAGATAATTCTATAAAACAGTTTATTAAGAAAGTAAACAATAAGATCATAGCATATCAATAGACAGCACAAAATAGAACTGAAAATGAATAAAGCCATTAAATTAAAAAACAATAAGACTATATATAAAACCTAGTATAGAAAAAAATGAATAGGTACACACGGGACACATCTTTCAAAGATTTACAAAGAAAAAGTTTTTTTATTAAGTTGATAAATGATAAGTTATCAACACTAAAAATTTTTTCAATTATTTTTCAAGCTGCTTTATTAAAACTATAAGAATTTAAGTTATATGTTTTTTTCTTTTAAATATAATACGTATATTTATAGAACAATTAATGTTAATTGTTCTTTGAAAATTTAATATTTCACTATTCCATTAATATAATGGTTTATTGTTTATAAATAAAGAATTACTATATTAGTAAAAAAAAATGCAACAAGGTTTTTTGTGCCTGGAAATTTATTTTGGGTTTTACACTCGTTTTATATTAATTTGTCACACTAAATATCACATCATAAACTTTGAAGAATGCACAGTATAAACTTACTTACACGCTATCATATAATTATAGATTTCAATCACTGTAATCTAACCTTTCAATCTTTACTCTCAACTCATACCATCTTTTGGACTTGACGTCCCTGGATCTGGGTGGCAAACTTCGAAATGCAAAGTTCCCTGTCGATTTGGACAGATTCTGTCAACGAGCAAGCTTTGGAGGGTAATGAAACTTGTAAAAAAGTTTCTCGAAGCCTCTCGTCTACTTTGAGTGCAAACACAGTGACAAATCGGCATAAATCACGCCTTGTGCCTGTCACAATACATCCCCTCGATCAACCAGAGTCAACTTCCTCAACTGTACCAAGCAAGACTTTTAATTCCTCTACAAACCTTGAGAAAGAACAATCTTTTACAACATCGTATAGCGACCTTTATTTGTTTTCCGAAATAGGAGGATCGAATACGATCAAGAAACGTCCCGGTTTACCAGATTTTAACAAAGTCACAAATTCATATGGTAGCGATACTAACGGCAATAAAATTGAATTAGAGAAAAAAATGGTTATCGTTCACACCATTAAACCATCAGACACATTAGCCGGCATAGCATTGTTTTATGGAATTGAGGTTCGCGAATTTTAAGAGCTCTGGTTTGCATGTTCGTTTCATCCGTCCGCCGTGTCTAACCAATTTATTTAATGGTAACCATCAGTTATCAATTCTTAAAAAAGCAAACAAATTATGGACCAACGATTCGATTCACATGCGCAAGGATTTGTATATTCCTCTCGAGTGTTGTACAATAATTGCGGATGAAGCTAACGTGATAATACAGGAAAACCATATAACCATCGTAAATCGTTCTTCTACCTTTGATTCGCCGCGTCCATCAATGTCCTCTTCAACTCCTTTTTTCTCCCATGAACGAGACTTGTTTACCACAAATGATGATATAAATCATGTTCGTGATCCGTCTGGTACTTCAACTTCCACGACATGTTCATCGTCATCGTCACCCAGTTCAACCTCCTCATCATTGTCAAATTCCAGTGGAACGGCCATCTCAAACTTTGCAAATTACACTCGTGTTGAAATTCAGCAGTTACCCTCTGCTCAATTGACTTATTTTCCCCCGCATCTTTCGGCGGCATGTTCTGCAAAATCAAATCCAGACTTCCCATCGCAATCGCCTTCTCCAATGCCCGTAACACATCTTAGTAAGAACGATCCCCATGTTCAAATTTCCTTTCCTCGACCAACGATCGCAACAGATAGTCGACCCACTATTGTGGATAAATTATATGCCAGAGCAAGTGAAAAATATAGAAAAAGTTTTGACTCAGTTAAGTACAGAAAGATAGCTCGCGGCGAATCATCAATATCCTTGACCAAGAAAAAAGTGTAGTAATATAAAGAATCTGTTGATCTTGGTTCGTTGTCACAAATTAATTTTTAATAATATTGAGATTGTCTGGGAAATTGCCTCTAATAAAATGATGTATCATCTAAAAATAAATAATGAATATTTATATTATATGCAGTAGTCTATCCGAATAAGGTTTGGTTTGGTTGGCATTTTTTCTTAATACCATCCCCACAATCTTTTGAAAAAAACTCCCATTTCTGACAACACGCCACCGCTAGCCATTTTCAGATTTGGAGTTACGGGATTAGGGAGTGGCTTTTTAGCTACGGAAGGTTGCCTTGGTAGAGCATACTTGATGGTTGCTTTTTTAAAGCCCAGAGTGGGATCTGTGAGTGTAAAAGGTGTCGTGGATGATGTGGATGATAATGGTGTGGTGGGAGATATAGTGGAAGTTGTGCGAGCAGCGACAGTTGTTGTCTCGGTGCTTGGCTGTTGGCTTGACGAAGGCGGTGCAAATCCATCCCTGAAGAGAGAAAGAAAAGTTACTTATCTCAAATTCAAAGATTTTAATGTTCTATATATGTGTATATACCTGGTACCAAAACTTAATACATTTTGTGGGGGTTGTAAAGTATCTTCGCTGATACGAGTTTCCTCATTCTCTTTAATGATCTGATTGACGATGTCGGTTATGCTGAGAGCCGGATTTTGAATGGTACGTTCTAGGATCTCATCTTGCGAAATCCCCACGTTTTTAGGTATGTTACTGTCAAAGGTGATTATGATCAGCCATAAAGTAGATGTAGCCATTAAGTTTTAAGGTGAATGGTTTACTCACGTTCGCGAATAAGGATCGGTCTCCGATCTTCGAAATTTCCTGGCCATTTTCTATGTTAGTAATTGCAGTTAATTGAGACTCTGGGATGCATATAAACAATACTAAAATATCGTATTTCCTAACTTTAGCGGTATTCAAGATTACGGGTTCCATATATTTTGTCTCCTGAGGTTCCAAGGCTTGACGAAACTGCAATATGCGATGACATTCTTGACATGCATGAACATGATCGCAAACGGAACACCTATGGGTAGGTTCATAAGATTGTTGATTGTAAGCTTGTCCGACAGGAACGAGTTCTGGTTGAGTGGGTTGTCGCGGTATGAAACTATTTGGTTGGGGATTCATGGTGGTCGATTTGAAGCAGCAAAAAAAACGTAATTAGAACGTTACACTTTGTATATTCCATTATTTTCGACCAATCAAAAGCGGGGTCTTGTTACATCACGATATTTATAAATACCGATGGATTACCAGTTTGACATGTTGTTTCGAAGATGACTACATACATCGCGAAGACGGCTGTTCTGACGCCTCATAAAATATCCTTGTTAGTCCTAGTGTCCGGGTATGTGGATATCGATGGCGAAAAAGATCTGATGGAATCATTGTTATTCTATCTAATAGAGAAAATATCGGTACAAGACAGACGCGTTAATATTCAAACTGATGAGTAAAACCGATCGATGTATTGATAAAAAGTTGTCAAATCCAGAACGAATATCGTTTTCCAGAACCATCTCTTCCCGAACTGTGCGATGATATTCTTCAGAAAACAAAGAAAGCGCAATTGATGCATGTTTTGCTTGACAGTGTATTGAATTCATAGTTTCATGCTTGGTTAATGTATCAACTATTTCGATTTAATAAACTTGAACGATTTTCTACTTAGCTAAAATCAATGGATTCTCCCAACGATATAATCGACCTCATAAAAGGCAATCGATAGATACTTCTGTGTTCTTTTTTGAATGATTATGGAATTTTCTAATTTACTTGTTCAATCTTGCATTTGCAGACTCTAAGAAGCTGACGATGGCTAATGTTGACGCCGTATGTTATTTGATTCACCGATCCACCAATTCCCTTACTTACTGCTTCCACTCAAATCGTGTATTTCTTTTTTTTTTTCTTTTTGGTTTTTAGCCATCCCACCTGGTACACAAGTTTTCATTTGCCACCAGAACATATTGCCGGAAAAATGAAAAATTTACATGACATTAAATAGGGAAGGTATAGTTTGCTGGGAATGTTCGTTCGACGCTGCCAAATCGAAGGCGACAAGCTTATGTTCGACGAAGTATGTCGATTATACAACGCAGTCGTGAAATATAAAGCACCCATACCTAAATTATCGGAAAAAATAAAAGAATTGGAAGATGAAGATTTGAAACCCGAATGCGTACTCGACGTTCTTTCAAGGGTGACACAAGAACATCACATGCACAATCAAGGTGTGTGTGTGTGTCATCACATTTTTTGTTGTTATTTCGTGAACGAACCTTTCTAAACTTGTTTTGGTTTTAGAATTAATTGCTAAAAGTGATGCGGAATCATTTTCACATTACGTGATAACCCAGCTTCGGAGTAAGAATTGCACGCTGTGTTCTATCTTTCATCTCTTAATATTGACACCCGATAAATGCTATAATTAAAATAAGAATACGGTGGCATTTTGCCCGTCGAGCTCGAGACAAAGCTTCGGGTGATACATGAAAGAATGCCCGAGATATCCACCGTTTATTACATCGAGTAAGTATTTGGGAAATTTAATGGCTTCCTCGGTATATTACGGCGTCTCTAACTCGTGAAATTGCAGCTATGTAAATTGCATGCAATCGGGCGAATATGAGGGAGCGTTGACTAACTTTTACAAGTATTCTAATTTTTGTCCGGAGGATGTCGAGAATCGGTAAGTACATGTAATATATATATATATATATATGTGCATATTTCTTTTTACCATTTTTATGATGGAATATAATCTTCTTGAATATTCATCGATGGTAGGAACTGGTATCAATACGTTTTGCTGAATTTGGTTGTTCTCCATGCCAAATTTGGTCACAAGGAACAGGCACTCTTGGTGACTAGCCTTTCACCTTGACATTATAAAACTTTTGTTTTTTCACGATTATTAATGCAAGTCGACATTAGGCCATTCGTGAAGCGATAGAGATGGCGCGTGAAAATAACGATCAAGAGTGTCTCCGTTTCGCTCTAAGGTGAAAAGAATCGAGGTTTGTTGATTACCTTTGCGAGAATAAATACTAAAATAAAAAAAAATTTTTTTTTATGCGTGTGTAGTTGGCTGTATAGACTGAAATCAAGTGAACAAGCAACCATGGATCGAGTGGATGCAACCGATCAGCAGATGCTCGAGTCACTCATAATTAAAGCCAAGCAATCGGATTTCGTCTATTTGCAATCTTTGGGTGAACTTGGAAAATCACAGCACCAAATTCAACAGGTTTATATTGTTTTTATGACAAAATCTAATCATTGCTACCCTTTATTATTATTAATAAGTAATCGAATCGTCATCATTTTAGCAATAACTTTTCGGCTTATAATTTAGGGCGCATCTCCTACCGACGTTTTCGAATCATTATTGCGGAGTTCGGTGCTGAACATGAACTGTCGTTTCAAGACAATGAGATTTCAAGGGCTATTGCTCAACGCAAGCGTGTGGAATATATATGGTGACTTCTTCATTTGATCTTTTTTCATTGGGTTAAATAATATGTGCGATTGTACGTTTAAATTTCGATCATTACACGCAGGCAGCGCCGCATTGCCAGCATTATATTCATCTGAGGTGATGGACAGCCCAGAACCTAGTCCCGAAGATCTTGTCACTGCTTATTGTCAGATTGCTGATCTCGTAATGCTGTTTACATGAGTTAAATGATTATTTCGTGACTTCGACCATTAACAACTTTGCTTGTATTTAGCACGTGTCGCAAGGTAACTATTCTACGGCTTTTAAACTGCTTGCCGAATCGAAAGATAAGTTCATTGGAATACGTCGGGCGGCCTTGCAGTGGGTCGTGTGCCTGGAAAAAATTTTGTATCATAAATGTTTCGAGAGGTGATTTCGCTAAAAACTCATTTGACATGTTTAAAAAGTGACGATCATGTTATTAAATTCATCCTTCCGACGGTGATTTCAGAGACGAGTTTTCAAATATTGACGCGTTGGAGACACAACTTCGTGGCAGTTGCCAAGATGACGAACCAATGCACACTGATTTTGACTATCACCGAGCTCTCTATTTAGAAAAGATTGACCGTTCCGATGAGGTAACAAAGATTTATTTCGCGTCTTTGACAAAGGTGGATCTTTATTAATTTATATTGATTATTATTATTATTATTAATTAGGCCACGGACGTGCTTCATAACTTAATATATAAGAGTTCTAGATTGGGTTCCCAAAATCAAATGCTTGTCGCAAATTATTTGCTGAATATTGCAGAGATTCTCATAGTAAATACGTGTTCAGATTATGATCTCTTAGAGCGTGCGGTCGTATATCTTCCCATTCACAATTAGGACATCTTTTTATTAGGATTCTGAAAATCCCACCTCAGCTCTTCCATACGTATTAAGCTCGCTTTGCATCAGCGAACGATTTCATTACCAGAGCAGCTATTTCATGGCTATCATCCGTCTAGCTCAGATTTTAATTCACTTTGATCTGGCCAATAGAGCAAAAGCTATGATCGAAAATATTATGCCAGTGGTATGTAAGCACTTGGGTGCTTTCCTTCCCTAGTTATCATCTATCATTTCTAAACCATTTATTCTAGATTCTTGCCGAGCATTCATTATACATGCAGTCAATAGCACACTTTATTTACGCCCAGTGCATGATTGCACGTATTACTCTGGATATTAAAGGTGAGTTGAGTTACTATGATTGCTGGCGGTCTTATTGTATTTTCTACATTTGACAAATCGTATTGATGTGCTCTCACGTCAAAAATTAATAGCGCAACAAAAACAATCCATATCGTGGGGAGATGTTCTGGTGCCTCTAAAAATTGCACAAAAAGGTAAATTGATTGGAAATAAGATTTAAAATTTGAAAATTATTTAATTACTTTGTTCGCATATTCTCTCACTTCCCCTACGCATATCCTGATGTAGGATTCACTAGGTTAGAATCTGTCTCTCAATTGCTTAACGTAATTCAATTGAAATCATACATATATAACGCCACGGGAGACATCGCAAAACGCGACTTTGAGGCTAGAGAATTTAGAAACCTGTATGGCATGCAAAAAGCTAACAGGCGAAAGCAACCAGATTGGGATATTCCATATTATGCGAGATACATTCAAATACAAAAGGAACAATTATCCCCGTCAAAACAGGACTCTGGGGGTTGGAGGGGAGACACTCCTGAATCTGAACTCGAGGATAGTTCTCTCTCTACAGATACTGACACAATTCGGACAATTCCGATGGATACCAGCATAGCCAGCACGTCAGCGGTAAACACATCCATGGCTAGCACGAATGTTGCTATGACGAGCGCAATCACTATGGATACGGATGATGTATCCGAAGATGTGGCATTCGAAGAATACCTAAATTTTCCGTGACGCTTGTTTCTTTTGGTGTTAAAGTTAGTTTGCGCCTACTTCTTAGACATATTATGTTCATGTATCTAGTTGGGTTACGTTTGGAATAAATTTCCATTTGCTAATCGATTGCAAAATTATGATAGTTAATAAATGAAGAGTCGTATGATTATGCTGTGAAATTTATATTTGTTTATTTAAAATCCATGACACGATATACAGTATAAGGTTTAAAATAAATAATTTTAAAATTAACTTGTTCCACATACAATATAAGAAATTTATCAACTTATTTATTATGTAGATATAAAAAAAGGTAACATATTATCGATTTTATGGCCTACAAAAGATATTAAAAAATATAAAATATGCAAAGTTATCAAATTAATAATCTCTTATATGTAAAAATAGGATGTATTAAAAATTTATAAGTATTATAAAATTTATTATATCTCATTTATTAAATTTAATAATAAATTAAATTAATTAAGTCAAATTAAATCATCAAAATCTTTTATTTTGAATTATAAATTATATAATTAATCTTTTACTTTTCAATTTTTAAGTTTAATAATATCATTTTATATTATTTGAATTAAAATTAAAATTTTATAAAGTTTAATATCAATTATTTTTATATTATAATAATTTTTTTTTTAAAAAAAATGATGATTGCTTTCTTTTTTAAACAATTGTTTACTTTTTCAATTCTTTTTTTTAATTTAGCAATTTACGATTTTCAGGAAATTATAGTGACAAAATATTAACACTAAATCTAGTGAATAGAGATTTATATCAATTATCTAGAAAGGTGAAATATTAATTTCTAAACTTGATTTATTTACTAAAAGCAAAGTTATATATATTTTATAGACAATTAAAACTATAAAGTTGTAAACTTTTAAATATAAAATCTATTGTTTTACTAGAAGTTATAAAAAATATTTTATTAAGTTCTTATTAATAAAATAAAAAATATTGATAAAATTAATAATATCTTTAAAAGTTTTTTTTTTTAACCTGTAATCATATTATATTGGCTTGTCTTTATTGAGAAATTAAATAAATCTACAATAATTTATAGACTTTCACAAAGTGACTAATTCATTTTTATACATAAGTACTCTAAGTCGAATTTTAAAAACAATATTATACTTTCCTGATAAATTGATAATAACTTCTATTTATCAGGATTATTGTCAATAGTTTGTTACTATTAATTGCTAAAAACCAATGAATTGTTAAGTTAAAAAAGGGAAAGGGAAAAATGATTAAGGAAAAAAAATAATTCAAGGCTCATTAAAAAAGTTCAAAAATAAAAACAATCTCTTTTCAAAAGGGATCTGTATAATTGGGATAGTCTTTTTACTTCATTTAAATCTTAGAAAAAATCTTCTTTTTTATCACCTATGATATTAAATAAGTCAATTTAATTAGTCTTTAATTTAAGTGAGCATCAGATTGAAATATATTAAAGAAAGTATTTAAATCCCAACTTTTTTCCATTAAAGCTTTGTTGCTATTTAAAAAACTTAAATAAGAAATAAGAGTTTGTAATCCATATTATCTATTATTTGATCTTTTGATATTATGAAAGTCTTATTAAAGAACTTAAGCTTTTGAAGGCAAATTATTCTGAAACATTCTTTTCAATAATCAATAATATTATTAGAATATATAAATAAGATCAATAAAAACTTGTTTACATTTTAAAACTAATATATTTTATGTTAGTCAATTACTTTGATCAGGATTTATGTTACTCAAAATTCAGAATCAAATTGAGGTAAGCAAAATTTCTCAGAAAACTATAAAAGGAAAAGTTTTAAAAAAACCATAATAGTTAAAAAGGAAGAAAATAAGTCTTTTTATTGCAAAAAATCTCTATAAACCTCTTACTTCAAAGGTTATATAGGCCTTTAAATACTCTATAATCAGTTCTTTTTCCTTTGAAAACTTTTTTGTCATTGATAATAAAAGTATTACTTGATTACTACGAGTCAAGTTTTTGAGTGAAAAAGTTTATAAATAAAAGAAAAAGTATAGATATAACTTTTGAAATTATACTTTAAGTTGATTTAAGAAAAATATTAAAGCTTTATTAGCAAATAAGTATAAAAACTTTTTGTGAACATCTTTTTTGTATATAGTCAAAGGATCAGTAAAAAGAATACTAATTATAATTTTAAAAGTTTTAACTATATAGAATTACTAGAAAGACCTGTGGGTCGATAGCACAGTGGTAATGCTCCCAGGTCACAATCACAAGATCCAGAGTTCAATACCATATGAGGACAAAGTGAAATTTCAGCCACAAGGTAGTACGAAGATCTTATTCCCCATGATAATGATCATGTGCTCCATAAGGCAATAAGGAGAACTCATATGCTCATCATGCCTACAGTAAAAATGACAAATCAATACAAGGTTCTATGGAAGATTAGCATGAGTAATACAAAGCCTTCAAAACACAAACCAATCTCAGGTACCGACAAGAAAAAAGTGAAGAAGGACCCTACCCACTTATCGCAGCCATAATAGAATAAGACGCACACAAGGTTCCATGAATATGGCCAAAATAGATGGTACAAGGTTCCAGAAATACAATCAAGATTGCTTCTCAAATGGAAAAAAAGAAGAACCCGATCACCCATAGAGCTGTCCATAACAGGTCCATAATAAGCAGAATAGGTTCTGATTTTCAAGACAACTAATCGAGGGATCGCATGTTCTTCATACAAGACCGGTACTTCAATCAAGTAACCTGACAGCACAAGAAACACAACAAGCCCACAGAAAAAAATTTAAAGCGCTAACGGAGCCAATAGGATTCCGTATAAGAGACCCCCAACATCAGTGATTCTGGGCATCTTAGGTGAGTTCCTGACACATTAGCTCCCCCACAAGGGGATAACAACAGAGTCGTCCAGTGGACTATAGTCTTAGGAAGTGCCGTTTCCGAACATTTGAAGTAATAGGTGGAATCACTTCATTAGATTGAAGTATAAAAGAATTCCCAAATCCTTAGTTGAGTTAGAATTAAGAAAAAGTCCTACATTAGACGGTCACATAGTTATCCAATCCTGATTAGGTGAGATGTAAATAGATGCCCCCTTGTACTATTCATTGATCTGTAAATCCTTAGACAGTACGGGTAATTACTCATCCCGATTATTCCTAGGACTTATCTTGACTTTAATAAAGCCTCAGAACTGGTGCAGGAATGAGCTAGCCTTTAAAAAAAAATATATATATATATAGAATTACTAGAAAAAAATATAATAAAATTAATTTGGATTTTTAATGATATTTATAAAAATTCAAATGAAATAAAAAAGAATTGTAAATAATTTTTTAAAATACAATAAAAAAATATAATACTTTTTTTTTAATACTATATTTATGGTTAGGTCAGCATAATATATTTATTAATATTTATAAAAACTAATAAAGATACATTAAGCAATTATATTATGACTAAATTAAATTTTATGTTAACACACTCATTAACAATTTTTAATTCTCAAATAAGCTTAAACCTTTAAGTGTAATCTTGAAAATAATATTTTGTTTTATGATAAGTTTTAAATAAAAACTCTTCTAACCCATCCATTATTGCTAGCAAGTTGTTATTATTTATTATTCTCCAAGAAACTGATTTCAAAAAACTGCAATAGAAAAAAAAATATATCTAAAAATATATAAATATGTATATATAAAAAGAAAAGGAAAAAAGAAATAATAAAAGATTTTTAAAAACTCTTTCCGCTAATCTTCTGATCACACACAAAAAAGATATTCACAAGAAGTTTTATACTTCTTTGCTAATAAAGTCTTTACACTTTCATTAAA